GTACAAGAAATACATATGAAATGTTTGTCATCAAGTTTCTTGTGCATGTAGTCCCAGGCTGTGTCTGAAGTCAAGTATCCAAAACCCAGGGCACCCAGCCAGAATGCACAAGCCCTTGAGATGGAGCCCTGATTGTCTGGTGCTTCAAGTTCTTTGTTTATTAAGAATGGTGCTTTGAAGTTAAGTACATCAAGTGGAAGCTTTTACTGTCTTCACAATGATGCCTTTTTGCAGTTCGGAGTGGTCTGACTGCCTTGCAAACCTCATCAGTTCCCAGCATCCATAAACAATTGCTTTTGTCCCTAGAAGTGAAAAAAGATAGAAGAGGTGGAAACCCCAGGATAACAAGGTCTCTATTGAATTTTCTTGGCTCACAAGAGCTGACAGGCCAAGGAAGCCAAGGTTTTAGAAATGTTTCAGACAGAGAGATGGCAAGGGATTGGTCACTGCAGAAATATGCCAACTAGCATTTACTGTGCAGTGGGTAGTGCCAGGCTGCTTTTGTTCAGTTCAGACTAGTTCTAAACCAGAGGATGATTCCGGGTCTTTTCCCTGTGCTGCTTCTCATGGTGAACGTAAAATCTGCATTGAGCAATTACTACGCTGCAGCCAGTGGTATTGATCTGTGGAGCTCTCAACTGCAGATGACTGACTGATAGTGATTAAAATTTTAGAAAGCAACTTTGTAATAGGACTGTGGGGGTCCTACATTTTTCATAGCATCTTCTGCCTAAAGGCAGCGGGGTCACTGCCTTGCACTTCTCTTGGCTTTTTAAATCCTCATTTTCCCCAAACGTATCTTTTTCAAAACACCCAGACAATTATACCAGAAAAACTCAAAAAGCTAATCCCAAAAATACAATAAGCACCATTCAGCAGAAAGTGTTGAAAGCATATCCCTGGTGTACTGAAATTTCAGGGAGCATTACAGAAAGCCTGAGATTAAAGGGATGGACAAAGGACATGCTGGCACTTTACCATAAAGTGAAAACATAGACCACGGCAAGAAAAAAAGTTTGTGGATATATGAACGATTGGTCTTTGAGAATGAACACTAAAAGGAAAGAATAGAAGTGAGAAGTATGACAAGAAAGTGCTGCCAGCATAGCTAACAGAAATTGCTCAGAATTAGGGCATGGCCAAGTTTTGGACTGCTGTTTATTTTTAGAGAAATTTCTGAGAGAAATCAGTAACTCAGTGAGTCCCAGAGTGTTGTTCATCCATACCCTTGATCTTTATAGGATACTTGGTTTAAAGGCTAGCAAAAGCACAGTGCTTTTCTTTGTTTAGCTTGTGAAGTGTAGCTTGACCAGGTTGCTTTGTCTATGTGCACAAAAGATAATGAAGTAGAGCAGGCAGTTGTATCATGTTAGGTTCACTGAGTTCGAGGCTTTGGTGTTATCTAGGGCAAATCCAGCATGTAGTTTCCACTTCGATGTGTGAAACCTGTATTTATTGATCACTCTAGTTTTTGTATAAGAACCTTTGAACCTGGTTATCAGTCAGGACTGGAATTTCTTTGTAATCAGTTAAGTTTATGAATTTTGTTTTATACTAATGTCATAGGCTTACACTGTTACTTAATAATACTAGGCCTGTAGATGTACAGTGTCTTCCTCAGCTTCTAGGGATGATTGGGTTTTTTTCCTCAACCAAATGAAAAAGCCAAGAAAACTCACTACTAGTGTAGCTGAATGCTCAGTGGTGGTGTGATAGATCTGGTTGACATACTAAATATTGAAGATTCCACAGTTCCTAGCATCTTGTCTCCAGTAAGTGCCTTAAGAACTGATTTTCCTATGCATGTAAAAGGATGTGTCTGTCCCATAGGATACATGTTGTCCGATGCAGTGCAACCAAGAGGAGGATATTTATCTCCTGTACATGCTCACTGTGGTCAATATTGCATTCTGAATGTCTCATAGGTTTTTACATCCGTATAGTAAATAATAAAGCTAGAGTAAGCTATATAAAACTCTGAGAGAAGGCAGCCCAGGACATTCTATTTCTCCTTTACTTACAATCCATAATTTGTCTGTAATTCATGTTTTGAACTTAGGTAAACATATTTCAGGTCGGTTGTGTTACCTGCTTTGGGACCTTTATGTGATCATATGTGGTCAACAGTAGTATAGGTGTCCAGACATCTTATATTCAATGGAGAGAAACATCCTTTTTTAGGATAAAGCTTGTGTTCTCGTGAAGTCATATTTAACACCGTTCAGATGAACCACAGTGCAAAACAGCCTGTTTCTCCTCACTGCCTGCAAAGATAGTTGTGTGTGATTAGTTCAGAATTAAATATCTACAGTGTATAACCAAGTAAGATGAATATAACTTTGTGTGGCTTTTCAGGTGTTATGGAGGGATGTATAAAGAGATATTACAGGGCTACCATGGAACAAGACAGCATGACACAAGAAAATGTGACATTAAAAAGTTCTGGTTAGTAAGCTTTCAGCAGAGAATGATATGTTTCCTGATGTCAGCTGTGTACAGCTAATATTGATTTCAGCAGATATGTATTTGTATTTTACCCGTCCTTTGTAACTGATGGTTATTTATATTATGGGTCTAAGTGTGACCTTGTGTTGTCACAAGTAAATTAAGCCTATTATATATCAAATCAGTGAAATGTGTATTTTCTATGGGAGGAAGAAGGATCTAGCAGATAGGAAGACCTGGATATGGTTCTTTCCTCTACCTCAGATGTCCTGTTTGCCTTTAGGAACTCCCTTAGGTTCTCTGCACCTTAGTTTTCATCTTCATTTGTCATCACTTTTTCAATTTACAGAGGTTAGGAGATATCAGAAGAAAGCAAGCCCCTGAATAGATGAATAATGTTTATCACCAGTTATGTTTCAGCCATCCTTGTTTTGTACATCCTTGGGACAATTGATGGCTTAATTCTGCCTTGAGTTGAAACTTCTGCAGTCCTAGTAACTGTCACAGTGTGAAAGTAAGTAATATGCAGGTCGCTGCATCTGTAGCCTTCTAGCTTTCAGGGATCAGTGGGTTCAGGTATTTATATCCTGCTTTTAAGACATTTAAAGTTTGATGTAAATTATAGCTCATATCAGAAGTGAAAACAACAATCACATCCCATCCATCAGTGAGACATCTCATTCTGAATTAGCTGACTTTGCCCAAGAAGATGCAATAGGGAAGTGTCAGAATAACACTGTGAGGAGGAAAGTCACAAAGAACCTGACTGCAGACTCTCAGGCTTTCATTAGGGCAACAAGTTCTTTGCTGGATGAGTACCATTGTTGCGTGTCTCTGAGGAGACAATGTGTTCAAAGCCATGGAATATAATCCTTGTTTCTTTGGAGAGTTCACATCCTCATGGGGCTGTGTGAGGTCAGGAGGAGGAATGTGCTGCAAAGCTATTCTGTGTCTTCTGTAATAGCCCAGTTCCAGATGTGCTTAAAGCCAGCTTGAATAAACGAGTAAAAAGGAGATGTGCCAAATTACAAGCTTAGGCCTTCTGCACTTTTTCCGAGGTGCTTGTCACTGGCATCTCTCTACCTTGGACTGAATTGTAACTAGCTGGTCCAGCATTTTGGCCCTAAATGTGTTGATGTTAGCAGGTGAAGGAAAAATACTTTAGGAAGGTACTCCCTTCCTATCCATGTGGTATCAATTATCAGGAAGCAGATATTTTAAATATAAGTTGAAAAGAGAAAAAGACATTGCCATAAATGTTATTAAAAATGGAGAAGAGGTGAAAGCAATTGTGGGTCAGAATCTTTTCTGAAACTTCCATTCCCCAGCAAAGGAGAACAAAAAAATACAAACCTTTTTGAGTTAGAGAATTGCTACAGATTTTCTCAAGCACAGCTAAGGAGTAATCAGGACACAAATAACCTTGTGAACATTTTTATAATGGTTATTAGGTAATGTGCATGATGATTAAGGGCTGGAGCTGCCTCTGATTGCAGTCAGTGAGAACTGAATGAAGGTCTAAATCACTGTTTGAACTTCACTTTTGATTTCCTGAAAAATAATGAGGTTTTGAACAGAACAACATCTAATTTATCTATCACTAGAAATAAATGTTTCTCTTCCCTCATGTAGCTAGTAACTTGGAGGTCAGGCAGCTAACAAGAAACTGGTTGTTTAGCCTTAATCTAGGATTATGACCTGGATGATAGAACAAAGACAAGAAGCAAGGCTGATTGTCAAAGACATTGCTGTGAGACTGCTGTTTAATGGGATTAGCACACACTTGCAGTCTGTACTGCCATAATTCAGACTGTTTACAAATCCACAGGCCATTTGGACTGTCCCAGGGAGTTGTCAAGGCCAGCAGTGACTGTGCAAGGGAAACTCAAAAATGGAAGCAAAGCTTGAGCCCAAGAATCCCTTATTTGCAATGCTCATTGACTTTATGTTGTTGCTTGTTAATTCAGAGTGAATGAACAGTCATTTTCTGAGTCCATGTGAAATTTCTTTTATTAATGGAACACTTTTTTTATTAGATCAGAAGTGATAAAATGTCTTGATGAAATGGGGTTTTAAAATATCTTAATAAGGAAACATTGATCATCAAGAGTGTCAATTAAGCAAATGTGCATAAAATGTCCAATATAAAGGAACATCTATAATTAGTATGGTGGCAAACACTATTATCCCATCAATTAAAGTCGTCTTTATCCCACCCAGAACTGAAAAGCATCCTTCTGGCCAAACCAGGAGACACATCAGAATGTCAGGCACCAAGAACAGAAACAAGTTTCCAGGCAGAAATAAGTGAAGTACAGGGGTCAGAAATAAAGAACTCATCAGTACAATGGCATTGACTCAATAAAACGGTAGTTGTTCTTTCAAATTTTCAAGTTTTTCTTAGGGAAATCTCCAAAATGCTTTCAACATGATCAGCTCTTAATTGTGAGTTTGAGTTTAGGTCCAGCTAAACAGGACCTCCTATGGAATTAATACCTCAGACATTCATGATATTTGTTGTTTTTAATGCCTTTGTATCAATTTGTCTTTTACAGGTCTATGATGGGGTCTGGTAGAGAGCCTGATCTCGTGCACCTGGAGGCAAAGACAGTAGATGGTCGTAAGTATACCACCTTTCAAATATTGCCATATTCTGGACTGCCTTTATATTCTTGTACCCATTCCATATCATGATAGAAATATGGCTTCTATTTAGTGATTCACTCATTTAATATGAGGGGTTTAGCTGATTCAGGGCAGGTCTGCCAGAAGAGAAGCTTTTCCAGCAAGGCAAAAAGCTGGGACAGGCTGTGAAAGGAGCTGAGAACATAGTAAGGAAGAACAGATGATAAGCAGTAATTGGCAGTAGCGTGTACAGCACTATTCTTTCTTCCTATGTGATTTTTTTCATAGGAACATGGTATTGTGTTCATGGGTCACAGAGTCTAGCTGCTGTTGTTTCACACAATGCATAATATCACCTTGTTCATAGCTTTACAGTTTTAACAGACCAGGGATACTTTGCCTTAGGTACTACCTTTGAAAAAACATCATTTATCTCACTTTAGAAACCTTTTAATGATCAGCTTAAGTATATTCCTTACTGTTGTTGCTTTTCCTGTCATTGTCCTTCACTTTCATCAGCTCCTCTCCCTCCTTGCTTTGCCTCTTGAGATGTTTTTCTCCATTCCAGGAACATTATTTTACCTGCAAATCCAAAATATTCTCTTAATTGGCTGTAAATTCTCTCAGGCACCCTAAGCTACCCACTGGCCTTTTCTCCTCCCACCCATGCCTCCTCAAGGTTTATCTTTGAGCTCCACTGCTTTTGCAGATCTTCCTCCATGGATTTCTTTCCACAACACTGAATTGCCTCAGGAATGCATCACACCAAAAGTCTGGCTGCTATAGATCTTGTTGTAATTCCATATTGTTTCCTCTGTAAGTGGCAGTGTTGCTGCAACAGAACAAGCAGATATTTACTATTTGCAATATATGATAATTAACTGCATATGATGCAGTTAATTAATTCCTTTAAAACTGATAAAATTCTCCCTTGAATTGTACCCCCAAATGCAGTGGTGTTACTTAAAATGTGTATTTTGTCACTGGAAACTGACTGAAAAGGTAACTGTAAGGTAACCTGCTTTTTAGCTAACTGAAATTTAGCATAAAAGAGAATTTGGAAGATGAATTTTGACAAGAAATAGTTGCGATAGAAACCATGAAGTTTAAAAGGTCTTTCCATTTCAAGATACGTAAGATTGGTGGAATTGAAAGAATGTATTAACTATTTCTTATCATTTATGATCTCTGATTATTAGTATTTCTCCTGTCAAATTCACTTACCTGGACACGGCAGCAAGGCTGAGAACATGGGGCTTTTTCTGGACATGCTAAATGAGAATGAAATATTCCAACAGGACTCTGTATTTCAGCACAAGATATTACTGGTTTAAGGCATTAAGAATTTGAGGTAATTGAGATAAGGCACTACAGCTGGTGTTTAAGGATCTATATTCTGGTGATGCTTTTGAGGGGTGTTCAGCTTTCAGTGGGCACAGAAAGTGCTATGCTCCAAATGCCTTGAATGGTCTTGTTCGAGTTCTTAGGCTGTAGTAAGAACATTTTGCACAGCTGTTGCACATTTCTGCAGAAGACTTCTCACCTGCTTAACAAATTAGTAAGATTTATGACAGCTTTTAAGGTGGAAACCAAAAAACAGGTAGATGAAACTGGCCTCATCGAGGAGTCGGGCATGTTATTAAAGAATTACGGAGTTAATTATTGCTTATTAATTGAGCTCTAGTAACTGATTCTGTGCACTTATATTGGCTTAGTTGTGAGGCAGCACAGCTGAGGTTTTTCTGTCAATGAGGCAGTGCCAGATCTACTGACGTAAATATAGCAGTGGTGTCAAACCTTCAGCCAGTGTGACCCCTCTTGCAAATCACTTATTGAGCTGAAACAACTTCTCATGAGTCAGAAGGTCTCCAGTTCAGCGTATTGGCGATATAAGAAAGTGTGTTGGATTTTCAGTAAGTGCATGCTCTGTTTTGCCCATTTTTCCAGGAAGCATTGGTCTCTGGCAGAGGACTATGGTGGGTAGCTGGAAGTAGTAACCTTGGAACATAGCATAGCATTTTTTGCCAGAAGACATTTGGTAGCACTGCAGGTCACAGGATTTTGAGAAAGAGGCTAAGAGTGTGCATATAGTCCATTACTCTAGTTACCATGACCAACTTCATGTATACAGGTCTGTATACAGCCTTCTTCTAAGAACTAAATCAGTTTCCTTTTCCTGGATGAAGTAATCATGACCCTCCAATAGATGAACAAACGTTTCTCCTCTGGAACGAAGGTGTGTGGCTGCCATTGGGGTGATGGGCCGAAGTGTGCTGAAGTGAGAAAGATACTTTTTTATCAAGCTGAAGGCAATTGGTAAATAATTGTTTGTGGGGGTTTTTTGTGCTGTTTTTTGGTTTAGGGTTGGGTTGTTTTGGGTTTGTTATGTTTTTTGGGTTTTTTTTCTTACTCTTCTTGCATTTACTTATTTATACTTTGTTTGGAATATCTCTTTTGAGAGTTAACCAAGTGTAAAAATCCAATAAAGGGATTAAATTTGAGCAGGTAGACTTACCAAAACAAGGCAGGGAGAAAGAAGAGAAGAAAGGGGAAAGATGTGGAAACAACCACACAATCTGTACAATACAATAAAAGATCCTGAAGTGGAAATATAAAAGCTAAGCAAAAAACTGCTGAACTCAGTACAAATAAGAAAAACCACCTCATTCTTGTGCTGGTATCTTTTCCAACAGAAGCTGAGTAGTACAACTGCAGCTTTAGGTGAGAAGAAGTAGAAATGTCAGCAGAATACAATGTTAGCCCATCTGCCTGGCAGGATTGTTTGAGAACATCTATTAACAACAACCTTAGTATTGGGCTTTCCCTGCTAGAAAACCAATAACTCGCTATCTCTGCTCCATGATTATGATCTGTCTGTGCATTTTATTTATTGTGTTTATATACATAATGTAAAAGCTTTACAAGGCCCAAAGTAGGAGTGTCTTACCAGGCATAAATCAGTATAACTTCAGTGGCATGTTGATTTACACCTGCTGAGGATCTAGCTAACAATGTTTTACCTGAGCATATATTCTCACTTCTATATTTTTTTTCCTTAGGATCAAGAAAGCTCTGGATTCCTTCTGCACATAGTGTGTCTCATCAAACTAGGGTGCAAGTAATAATGAACAAAATGAGTACAGACTCTGCAATTTGGTTGGACTGATGGAGATAAATTTGCAGGGCTAAACATTGCCATTTATGTTTTTATCCTGCTGTGCAATTTTGGAGAGTACCAGGCAAATTTTATCTTCTTAAATGTGATTTTTTTTTATTTTATTTTATTTTTAAAGGCTTCAGGCTCAATCTGCATCAAGCTGGGGCTGACAACACAGTGGTAAAACTGATTTTTCTGGTTGGAAGAGGTTCACATGAATCTTATCTTACATTTCCATTTGTACACTTGGGTGTTCCTGGTGTTCCACTTTGATTTTGGAGCAGAATCAAAGGCAAGCCAGCAAAGTCAGCAGG